GCCTCATGAGGGCTTTGAGATGAAGAGAAAATTTTTGACAGAAGCCCATTTGGGTGTGTGTGTGTGCGTGTGTGTGCGCGTGTGTGTGTGTACTTCCCATCTCAAGGTCTTTTTAAAAATTTTGATAAGACACAAGTAACATAAAATTTACAATTTGAACCATTTTAAGTGCATATTTAGAATGCTTAATTACATTAATTATATTTACAATGTTGTGCAATCATCACCACTATTTCCAAAACTTTTTCATCACACCAAACAGAAACTATCCATACATTAAGCAATAACTCTCCCCTCTCCCCTGCCTCTGATAACCTCTAACCTATTTTCTTTCTCTATGAATTTGATGTGTAGATTTATGTTTTCAACACATTTGAGAAGTTTTAGGCCATTATTTGTTAAATGTTCTTTCTACACATTTCTCTTTGTCTTTTCCTTCTGGGATTCCCATGATGTGTATTTGGAGTGCTTGATGGCATTTCAGAGGTCCCTTTCTGCTCCTCAAACTGGATAACTTCAATTGTCCTATTTTCAAGTTCACTGATTATTTATTCTGCCAGCTTAAATATGCTGTTGAACCTCTCTAGTGAATTTTTCATTTCAGTTGTTGTATAATTCAGGAATTTCTTTTTGTTTCTTTTTAAAAAATAATTTCTATTTCTTCATTGACACTCATTTGTTCATATGTTATTTTATTGATTTCCTTAGTTCTTGGTCCACATTTTCCTTTAGCTTTTTCAGTGTACTTAAGATATCTTAAAGAATTTGCTCCAATGTCAGGCCTTCCTTAGGGATGGTTTCTGTCAATTTACTTTGTTCTTTAGAATGGGCCATAATTTCTTCTTTCTTTATATCCCTTCTGATTTTTTGTTGTTGAAAATTAGATATTTGGATATTATAGTGTCATAACTCTGGAAATCAGATTCTCCTTTTTTCCAAAAGTTCGTTGTTCTTGTTGTTGTTTAATCATTGAAGATTATAGTCATCTACTTGTTTAGTTACTTTTCCACACTTCGTACAAAGACTTTTTCCTGTCATATGTGGTCACTGAATTCACTGTTCCTTTAGCTGTTATTCAGTTAATGTTTTGACAGAGATTTCATTGCATGCCAGGTTCAAACACAAACAAAACAAAACAAATGTAAACTAATAAACAGACAAAAACCGAAACACAAATGAACAAAAAACACCACAAAAAACCAAATGCCTCTGCTCGACTTTACAGATTGACTCCATGCTGTGTCACTTCTCCAACCCTTAACCAGGCTTGCACTGAGCCTCAAAATCAGCCAGAAATAAGAGTTGGGTTCTTTTTAGGTCTTTCTTGGGCATGTATTTTGCCCTGGACATGTGTGTGATTTCCTAAATTTTCTCAGTATACATGGGTGCTTTTGGTTCCAGAATTTCTTGGAAAAAACTTTCTCCAACTTTCCCTCTGAGGCTTTAGATGGTCTGTTATATGGCTCAACAGTCTTTTTTTTTTTTTTTTTTCTTTTGCCTTAGGTGGCTACAGGATTTTAGTTAGCCTTCTCATGTTCTTGAGCAATGCCTGCCATTTTGCATGAAAAGTGGGTCCATATTTGGTAAAACAAAGATGAGCACCTTATGACAATCCTTAAAAGGCCTCAGACAGATTGGAATAGACATGCACAATAGTTTTTGAATAAGGTCCTCTGTGCTTCTTCTGAAACCAGAAGCTGGGGTCCCACACTGGGGCCAAAAGCTGCTATTTTCAAGACTATTGCTGATCTGGGGAGAAGGTAGGCAAGGAAAAATAAAATAGGACACTTTTCTAACATTTTAAAGCTTCCTTTTACTTGATTCAGTGTTTGCTTGGTAGCTGTAAATTTCTATATGTTTGCCACGACTAGAAGAGCTGTGTTCATAGATTCATTGCCTAATTGATAGATTTATTGATTCCTTAAATATACCCATTGAGTGCCAGCTCACTCTGTATCAGACACAATGAGTAAGAATGACAAGGATGAGAGCATTATGTCAATACTTTAAGTAGTCCCAGACAGATTAAATGGCATATGTAATACTTTATGACTAGGTCTTCTGTGCTCCCTCTGTACCCAGGGACTGGGGTTCTACCTTGGGGACATAGGCTGCTATTTTCAAGACTGCTGCTGAGCTGGTGAGATGGTGGACAAGCATGAGTAAAAACACCACAAAACTTTCCTAACATTTTAAAGTTTCCTTTTTCTTGATGCCCTGTATGCTTAGTAGCTGTAAATCTCTGAATATTTTCTAGAGCTCTGAAAAAGTCGGTTTGGAATGTTTCTTCTTGTTTTCTTATATTTCTGTGGAGGTGCAGGAGCTTGGAGCTGCCTACTCCTCCATTTTGCTCATGTCACTCACCTGGCCCGGGCTCTGTTTTTTTGATGTGTGTCATGGATACTTATGTGAGGTCTTCCTGTTGGGGGTTTCATAGACCCAGAACTGAATGAAATTAGGAAGCTGCACAAAACGGGGTGAGGGCTGGCTTGAACTGTTTGGCGATAACCAAGACTTGGGGCCTGAGAAAAATGTAGCCTGGGTGTTGAGAGACTCTTGAGGAGGAAGATTTCTAGTTTTCCAATTACACAAAAGTTTTGGAAGTTCTAAAAGTTGATTAGCCTCGGGAGAGAAGCGCTGAAAGTTACTGTGTCTTTCCCTTGACTGCATCCCTAGGGTTTCTCTAAACTAACTTTCCACAGTGAATCATCTTCCTTAGGGACACATTGCAGAGGAAACGAAGGAGGGAGACAGACAGAGGGAAACAGCGGATCACTCCACGGCTCTATGACTTCTGCACTTTCCTAACTGCCTGTGTGAAGCAGGTTTCTCTTTCACCGAGAGCGAAGACAGCAGCAGCTTGCTCTGGCCCACAGGGCATGTTCAAGAGCAGGAGGCAAGAGGTAGCCTGGGCCCCCTCCTGAGAGCCATAGGACTTTTCAGTTCATTTCCTTTCTCAGGAGGTGAGTGTCTTGTAGTGGTTTCATTCTGTGAAGGAGAGAGTGGGAGAGGGTCGCGATGGGAAGATCTGGGCCTGCCTGCCATGTAGAACTAGGATGACCAGAGCCTGGAGAGTGGGCCAGGGGACAGCAGAGTGACCAGGCTCATCTGCAAATGCGTCCTGCACAGCAGAGAGCACTTTCTGCTGTTCTCTGACCCACTGTTGACCATAGACAGGGCTCCCCGCCACTGTCAGAACCTCATCTCTCCTTTCTTTCCAGCTTCTCTTGGATAAATAGAATATATGGGAAAGACTACGGAGCTTTTTCACTAAATCTATTCTTGAAACCCCACTGTCATTTTATAATTGTTCTCCAGGCAGAGGGCTGGATACTGATGGGGCTGGTGATGATGTCTTTCAGTGAAGACAGGAGAAAGAGAAAGCAGTTTTCTCATAATTGGATATAGGTAGGACTAGAAGAGCTGTGTTCATAGATTCATTGCCTAATTGATCAATTCATGGAATCATCAAAGAATACTCATTGAGTGCCAGTTCACTCTGTATCAGACACAATGAGTAAGAATAACAAGTGTCTGCTTTCATGGTGCTTACATTGTAAAATGACTGTGAGAAAGTAAAAACTAAGTGTAATTTTAGGTTGTGAGGGCTAAAAAGGTAAACAGATATTAGAGAGGCACTAGAGAGTGAAGGGCAGGGTGGGTTCTTTTAGAGGATGATGAAGAAAGGCGCCCTGAGCTTGGGCACTGGAGCAAAGAACTGAGGAAGTGAGAGATCGACTCCGGAAATCCTAAGAGGCTCAGGTCCTTGGTTCTAGTGGATGTTAGTGATAGTTGAGTCTTTAATTTTTTTTCACATAATATTTGTGGAAATGTAATCATAGAACGAGCATTGGTTCTGAGGGGACTTTCCACACTGTCTGTTAGACTGTGACCATGGCCATCTGCATTTAGGGCCTGGGCTGGACCCAGAGTTCACATTCAGTGGCTTTGACTCCCTGCTGGATCTAGGGCTTTGAGCTCTCCTGAAGGCAGGGGTGATGGAATTGGACCTCAAACATCTTGTCTGCCTGCCCCACTATAAGTTCCAAGTCAGACAAATGGAGGTTGAAGGTAAAAGTTCCTTCTATATCCTTGTTCTGGGTCCTCCTCCTGTCAGTTTGATGATAAGATGTGTCAGAGTCTTGGCGAGAGACGGTCCTGCTAGACTAATCCCAGGTGCTGGTTAGTCTGCCTCCTGTGAGAAGACATATTCATTGAGGAGAAAAGAAGGGAAGCTTTCCTTCCTGATATAGGGAGGAAGAGGGGGGTTAGCCACTCAGGGGTATAGCTGGCCAATAGATGGAGAGAGGCTCAGTCCTTGCCCTCAAGATCTTATTGAAAATTCTCGAGAGAGTTCCGCACCCTCCTTCTCACCAACACTCGGTACTAATGATAGAGGGAAAGCAGTAGCTTTAAAATAAATATGGTGTAAATGGAACCTAAGATTTGAAGAAACAGCATAACCTAGTAACCAGTTGTGGAACAGGAAAACTTCCATGTAGAAGGTGATACTGAAGCAGGAATACACAGGAGAGAAGAAACTTGGCAGACAGGGTAGTTTAAAACATTCCAGATGGATGAGAGTTCCTGGTAGACAGGAACACATGGCAGTCAGGGATACAGACAGGGTGGTGGTTCTTAGCAGAGTGGGAGGCACATGAGCTGCGGATTGAGAGATTCAGGTGCATGCTGGGCGGGGAAGGGGAGGGCTTTCATGTCATGGGATGATATTGGTGACTGGGCTCATCTTCTTGGCCAATTCGATTTTCTTTATGTATTTTCCTTTTTTTTTTTTTTTTTTCTTTCAAATCACATTGCACTGACGATGTACAGGGAATTCATTCAGGAATGTGAACCCTTCCTAGGGATGTTGTAGCACCTGTAAGCAGGACGGGTATATTTTCTCTACTTCAAACAGTTTCTACCTGTTTTGAGATGAGAAACAGTTTTATTTTTCTTTTGTTCTCCAGATTTCACAAGGATCAAGCCCTCAGAACTAAATGTTGGGGAATTACTCTAGTGTCACTGAATTTCTTCTCTTAGGCTTCCCTGGCTCCCAAGAACTACACCATTTCCTTTTTGCCATCTTCTTCTTCTTCTACTCAGTGGCAGTACTGGGAAATACGGTCATCATCATCACCGTCTCTGTTAACAAACGTCTGCAGTCCCCCATATATTTCTTTCTTGGCCAGTTGTCCATTCTGGAGACCTTGACCACATCCACTGCTGTCCCTTTTATGCTCCGGGGGTTGCTGCTTTCAAGGACTCAGATGATATCTTTGACTGCATGTGGAGCACAACTGTATTTGTACCTTTCACTGGGTACCTCAGAGTTCACGTTACTGGGAGTGATGGCTGTGGACCGTTATGTGGCCGTCTGTAACCCTTTGAGGTACGACATCATTATGAACAGCTGCACCTGCATGTGGATGGTCATCGTGTCGTGGGTGTTTGGGTTCCTTTCTGAAATCTGGCCAATCTATGCCACGTTTCATGTTACCTTCTGCAAATCAAACCTGATAGACCATTTTTACTGTGACCGAGGGCAGTTGCTCAAACTATCATGTGATGACACTCGTTTCTCAGAGTTTATTCTGTTTTTACTGGCTGTTTTTAAAATTTTTGGTTCTTTAATCACTACAATTGTATCTTATGCCTACATCATCTCCACCATCCTCAGGATCCCCTCAGCCTCTGGCCGGAGTAAGGCCTTCTCCACCTGTGTCTCCCACTTCACTTTTGTTGTGATCGGCTACGGTACCTGCTTGTTCCTGTTTGTGAAACCCAAGCAAACGCAGGCAGCCGAGTACAACAGGGTAGCGTCACTGCTGGTTTTAGTGGTGACCCCTTTTCTGAACCCTTTTATCTTCACCCTCCGGAATGACAAGTTCATACAGGCTTTTCAAGATGGCATAAAACGTTGCTATCAACTTCTCAAGGATTAGATCTGGGCTTGGGACCACCCTCATCATGGACTGGAGTAATCTGAAGGTACTAATTCAAATCCAAAATGATCATTCTCATCATCAAATAGTTTGTGATCTATGAGGGAATTTTAAGGTACTGACGGTGCTCCAATTTGTGGCTGGATAGTTCCTACATGAGTGATTTCTTTATTGTTTTCTAAGTGGATGTATGCATTGATTCACTGTGTAGTTAGAATGCATTTTCACTAATAAATTTGACAAGTGTTAATACATAAAATATGTGTAATTTTTAGAAAACTCAGACCTGTGAATGGGAAAAATAAGAAAACTGTGATTCATTCTCTGACAGCTGACAAAAATGTGTAATTCCTGGTGTTGGGATTATCTTCCACTATTGTCCCCATGCTTTCATGATGTCTTCTCACTGTGTAAAGCTCACTTTGGCTCCCTGAGTGAGCCAGTTACAGCCTTAAGTTTCAACCTTTTCTTATTGTTTCTACTGCCAAGGTCCAACAGTGACAGTATTTTCCTATGGGCTTTCTCACCTGGCAGCTGGTGAGAGTGAACTCAATCCACAACCCGGACTGCTTAGCAATCTTAAGAGCTGCACGTGTGTTAATACAGCTGCATCTCTAATTTGTAGATTCTCTCAGTGCGTGGAAGGAAGGTCTTGGAAAGAAATATTTTCTTACCTAATGCCCCTCACATCAGCCTGCCTGCTCCACATGCGGGTGTGCCATGGAGCTCTGTTCTGGGAGGTGAAGTGACAAGGGAGAGCTGCCTTGCTATGTGCTTGGACTGAGAGGGGAATGCAGAGAGGGCAGAGGAAGGGGCAGCCTCTGGTCCCCCTCCCTGCATTTCTCACATTCTTTAATCCTGACATGGCACATTCTCCTCCTTGTTTCCTTAACTCTCACCCTACCGGGAGTTTTCTGTGTTTCTGTGTCTGTGATTACGAGATTTATTTCTGTTTCTTTTTCTTTTCCTTTCCCTCACAAGGACCAAGTTTACCAAGCTGTCTTCCAGCTCCACTCTGGGATCCCCTAAGCCACATATCCCTGTTCCAATATTGCCCCATCTTAGCTCCTGTCCCTGTCACACCTGTTACCCTCAGTATTTCTGTATTATATGATACAGTTTTATAGATTTTTTCTGTATCATTATACAAGTAATTACACAAGTTTGGTGGCAACCCACATAGATATGAACAGGTGGTTTTCTAAATAATTTATGGGACTCTTATTCATGAATATTACACAACATAAGAAGAATGAGGAGGTTTTCAGTGTCACTGAAAGAAAGATCTTCAAGATATACTGTTGAGTAAGAAAAGCAATGAGCGGAAAATTTGTTAGGTGCTATATTTTTGGAAGAAAAATGTAAAAATTAGTTTATTTCAGTTTTTCATTTTATTAATTTAAGCCAGTTCATCTTTATTTTAAAAGCACTTATATTGTATTATAAGCAACAATCTCAGTTTTAAGACGATTGAGAATCAAGTGTGATATTTGAGGCTGGCCAAGTTCACATTGGCCAATTGGACGTCTTAAGATAATGCTAAATTAAGGGAAGGATAAGGTTCTGCATATTGTCAAGATGCATACGGATATAGAAAGATTTCTTTGAAGTTGACACTAAAGAATACATACACAATAAACATAATGTTATTCAAATGGCCAATGTTTAGTTTTTCAATTAATGATTTCCATGCCAGAGCAGACCTGCACAGTTTCTTGGCTTATTTTAATAAAATTGTACCAGAAATCTAAAAGGCTGCTTTACTCCTAGGTTCAACATGAACTAGATTATGTGTAAGTCATTTGATTTTGTCAGTGCCTCAGGGCTCCGTCCATAAAATAGAGGTTGTTATAATCTCTGTACTTAATTAACTGTCACAACCATGCAGTCTATTCATATCAATTTAGTAAATGAAAAAAAATTCTACACTCATTTTAAGAATTTTACTGTCTGTTATTTGAGATAGACATTGAAATACATAACATACTGTAATAAGTGCAATAACATCCTTATGTCCAATGTATAAAAATGGAAGTAAGTGATTCTGTCCATTTAGGCAATTTGAAAAAATTTCCATAAAATAAGTGGCATGTTTGACAGACTGCAGGTTTTACTCCCACATCTGTTTTCTTCTTCTTTCTAAGAATATGGCCTCTCAGATGCCTATTACAGGTCCCATCGTCTATGTCAGCAAGAACGATTTGTGCAGCTCCCTCACATGCTCTAAGAAAAACTGCTGCCTTGGATTTTATCTCATTTTCCTCTTCCTGCAGACTGGAATGAAGATGATTCGCAACTCAGCTTAGACCACAACAAATGGTCCAATGGCCAATGAATGGCAGAACAAAGAAAGGATCCTGGGTCCCTGAATGACCTTGTGGAACACAGCTGCATATCTAACCAAGACTAGCTGGAGTGCTTCATGAGAAAAATGCACTATGTGTGTCTCTTTGTCAACATTATTCTAGATTAGTCTTCACTGTAATTGACACAACATTGAACTAAGGCTAGTATTACCAGATGACAGAGAATGAGGAGCAGGAGTTGAGGTTGAGAAGGTAGTAAGAAATCAGACCTTTAGGAAGCTTAAATTTTATTTTAAAATATTCTAAAGGGAAATAAGATAAAAAATAGAAAAAATAACTTTGACTATGAAAAAAAAAAAACAATCCTGGCTGTCATTTGCTTTGAAACACATAAAGAAGTCTATTGTCAGGGTGCTCTCTCGGTCAGCCAGGCCCAGGCTCTGGATTTCCCTGGCTGTGGCCACCGAGTGATCCCCGGCAGACTCCCTATCCCCCCCGAGGCAGGACCAGATAAGTTGCCCTCTGTGGCATAAGCCGAAGAAGGATCCCCGAAGGTGGGTGAGTGCACCGCCTGCCTATTCAGCCTGCAAAGGAACACTCAGACGCGGTGGGGGTTCTGTCAAGCAGTTCCGTTTATTGTCTTTTAAGCACTTGTATTTATATCTAAGCAAGCGGGGATTTCCACATTGAGAGCCAATCACTGGAAAGGTCACATGTGCATGCACCTTACTTTCCTATGCTTAGCCTACTGATCATGCACTGATCACGAGCGTGGAAAAGCGTGACTACCAATAAAAACTTTTGTGGAACTAAAAGTGACACTCCCCCTTTGCTTCCTCTAGGTGCCATCTTGTGTGGACCATGCGGGTAGGGAACTTAAACAGCCACCATTTGGTGTGGCCTTCTTTCACCCTAGCAATTGCTATAGCAAGTGGAGTGGTTGCAGCCCAACAGTCTATTAGGGAGGTCAAGTAATAGCTCAGATACGAGATGGCACCATGAAGTATTCAACATGACTGGGGCAGGGGAGGACACTCCACTTTTTTAGTTCCTACAGAAAACACCAGTATCATAGGTTGACATGCTCTAGCTGGCTGAACTTATAAGTCCTGGCAAATATCTTTCACTACAGTAAAAGGAATTAACCACCCGTGAATAATGTACTAACCATTATACTCTTTGCTCACACTCAGAATTCCAATATTAGTTTAATTCTGAGCTTGTGAAATTTAGTTCCAGAAAGCTCTGGCTTTTAACCTACAGTGAACTGTCAGTTTATGGCATTTTGGTAGGTAGAGAAATCAGCTCCAAGTATCAGTCAGGTAGTGACAATTTGCACAGTTTCATTCAGGTGAGGGCAGTGTTAAAACTTTTCTTCTTGTACATCCACCTACACCTTCAGGTTTTTTTCTTTTTATGGTTTTCAACAAACAATAATAATAATAATAAAATACGAGTAACAAGGGAGGTAGGTGTGCATAACTTCAGATGTATGTATGTATGGAGAATCCCAAATTGTCACTTTTTTTTTTTTTTAACAACTTAAAGCTAGAAAATATATAGACCTTTATACAACAAAACATGTTTTTCTTCTTTCTCTCAATCTGGCAATTTCCTCTTCCCTTTTTTTTTTTTTTTTGTTTCCTTTTTGTCTTTTTTCGTGTCCGGCAACGGATCGCAACCCTCAGTGTCGCGCCCGCACCGGACCGGGACCGGCAACGGGATCGCAACCCTCAGTGTCGCGCCCGCACC